TATTCTCTTCAAACATTTGTTCTGTCATAATTATATCGACTTACGCGTCACTCTGCAATCGCCATGTTCTCGTATGATGCTGATCTTCTGATTGATGAAGATGCTGCGGATGACGTCTTTGTCTCTGAGCCTGCATCATTTCACTCCAGCATGGAGGGACGGTCGCGCTATATGCAGGGGAATGTCGATCGAATCTTGTGAGTTCATACAAGAGCCGCAAATCCGAGTAAGAGAAATTCGATTTATGCGCTAATAGCTGATCGCTGTGAAACGTTCAAAATACATGTATAAATAAATGCAGATAAAAAATTACACAATTTCTAATGTTTATATAAATGTAATGCCAAAATATGAGCGCGCACGTACGAAACAAGAGACATTATCAAATAGTTATTTATAAACTTTAGTTTGGACATAAACTTACTGATAAATTGACGATGTTGACGTACTAGGAGCTATATTTTCGTTAACACAGCTTCCCTCGCTACCCATATTCACATCCTCGACATCCTCCTTTTCCTCTGTAGAATCCTCCTCCTCTGCTGTAATGAAGAAATGCAACGTGCCATCGCTCGTGCATACACACAGTCTTTCCAAACCTAAAAGAGTCAATGGTCGTAACATACAAATTTTCTCCCACAAATTAATTTCCTAATTTACACAATTCTCGCTTCTCATTTTATTTCCTTACAAAAATACACTTACTGTTGCAATAAGTTGCAGAGATAAATTTCTTTCCATCTAATCTTGCTTCTGTTACAGTCTTAAGGGTACTCAAGTTTAATAATCTGACCACACCGTCTTTACACACTAGGGCAATTTGCCCGGCAGGTTCCTGAGCGGCTGAATTACTAGTGGAATTGGTACTAGAGGTAGTGAAAGACGTTGTACACTTTATTTGTTTCTCCTGAAGAGGAAGGAGTACATGTTCTATCGGTGTCTGTTCCGAGGATAATTCACGCTTCACCAACGGTTCCGATGCTACTTTCACTACCGGCCCCGAGAAATCTAAAGCGTACACAAGCAGCACGGCATTCGTATTGTTCTCGTTACTATGGATTTCACCGTTTATCAATTTACTGGACTGGCTGTCGTTGTGGTCCCAGTACATGTAACTTTTCTGCGGAAAAAAATCGCTTTCATCGTCGACGTCCATTTGATTGGTATTTAACGAGGAAGATTCGGCAGAAGTCGCGTTATCTGCCGCGGGACACATCGCGACGTACAAGTATCTTCCATCCTTGGACGGGATTATACATGTAATACGAAGAGACTCTGACGCGTTTATAATTAGCGTTTTCACGACTACTGGTTCCGTTTTGGTAATCTTCATAAGATCTAAGCTCTTTTTATTCATCGTTGTCAAGTCGGATGTTGACGCAAAATGGGCCGAGCCATTGATAGAGGCAAAATTGGGATCGTAAGGTGTTGATGTCGTTGGAGCGGAACCAATGGGAATACCAATGGGACTCGAGTAAATGCCGTTCGAAGATGAGGCGGTTAGAGTGGTAGTCGGGAAGATGCCATCATAATGTGGACCGACTACCATATCAGAATCTACGTCCTCGATAACTGGCACTTCATATAAAAATTTACCAAGAAAGAGTTCTTGATATAAGCTCTCTTGGCGACCGCCATTCGAGCTGGCGCTGGTTCCTGTCCCAGATAGGGTCTTCTTAGTTTTTGAGTCTTTAGAATTATCCTCCTTGATAGATTGCGTCGTCGCGACTTTATGATGAAAGTCGTACAACACTAAGTAATGCAATCTCGACGATATGTACCTACTGTCACCCGCTACTTTCATTATATCTAGGGTATCACTGGCGGCACTATTTACACTGTTCATCGCACGTACCAACGACGTCGAGCTCGCTAGATCACTCGAGGCGGCCCATACATTTTCCAAGGTTCTCAATTGCGAAGAATTATTGTTAACCGTCACTGTAACACCGCACACTAAGCACGGTCGAACTTTCAGTTCCGACGTCTCGGTATTTATAGATGACGAGGTTGTGGAATTGGTACTTTTCGCCTCCTCTTTCAAAGTTACTGAAGATCCTACTACCGAAAGTGCTGTGACTTGCACTTTATAAAACGACGAGGATTTATATTCCGAAAGTGGATCCGAGTCCGAGCCCAGATTCGTTAAATACGTAGTCGTCAAATTTCGTGTAGCACAAAATTGTATTGATTCCTTATTGTTTATTTCTTGATCCAAGGTAGATATATAAAATGATACTTCTCTCTGCAAAATGCAACAATTTATTGTATTATTTTGCTAAAGAAAAAGGAATATATAATAGCGTTGGATTTAGTTTTTTAAATAGATAACAAAATTAATTGTAGGGAGTTATTTGTTAATCATTTAACTTTAATAACGCATATCAAGAAATTTTTATTCAATTAATTGTTTAACTCTATTCAATCATTTTTTCTGATTAAAACTAAACACACATACATACAGAATTGAGAAAGTTATTTAATAAAAGTCATCAGTTTTCAAAATCAACTTATTACCCTTACCGCTATAATCTCCTTACTTTTCGTGTTAACACTACAAGCTTACAAGATCAAATTATAAAACACATCCATATAATATTTACATTTTTTTACATTTTTCTTTTACATTAAAATATAACAAAAGAGATATAACTGCGATATTGATATTGTTATAAAATAAAAGTTGTGAAATTTTATCGAAATTTTATACACAAATATTATTTTGCTCTGCTTGATAGATAGACACTTACCTTCAACTGATTCGTCATGTTCCAAATATTTACAAAACCATTGGAAGAGGCTGTAGCCGCGAGGCCCGTAACATTAGTAGTACCTATGACGTCCACTGTATCACCCACCTCACAAGCGGGGGCGGTTGCGAGAGTGACGGATAGCGGAACATTTTGCGTGTATTCGCCTTTAACAAAGGGACATGCAGGCGAATGTCTTTCGTGCTCTGACCATGGTTCGTCCGTCGGCTCCCAACATACCAGACACACATTACAAGTGAAACACATTGCTCTATCATCACCTGTGGCATTCGGTTCGTGATAAAAACCAGCCTGCGCCATTTGATCGGGTAAAGCCCATCTGAAATGTATTCAGTTACAATTGTACATGTCTGTACATAAATATCATCTGTGACTGTATATTTATTAACACATTTCAAATCATATAAATATTATAGACATAAGTGTCACAAAATTGTGGGGAAAAAAAGTAACTCTCTACATGCAAATGTATAGCCTTCTACATTTTTTATTTGACAGAAACTCAAAGACATCCAAAGCAGTGTGACACGTTACTTACTTGTAATTCATATGTGGCCATTTCGGAAATGTATTACGTCGCGCTGCTTCGCTAAACATTAACGCTCTATCAGTGGGACCACTTTCTAGTGCGAGACTAGGCAATAGGCCATTTAGTCGTTCATTAATCGCGGAAGCAATAGGCAGTGCTGCTATATGCCGATTTTGCCTCTTTAATTCCATTACTAAGCCAGAGCATACCAGCTTTAAAGATCCATGCGGAAGCTCCAAACATATCGTATTCCACTGCAATGAGAAATTTCCATTACTTTCGCATATAACATTTCAACATTGGAACAACTGCTGATACACTTGTATCAATACTCAAATACACAATTATTTCAAATATGATATATGTAAAATGATTTATTTCGCAATAACAAGAAAAGCAAAGAGATACCCAAATACTATTTTAATATACAAAGATTCTATATGGAAAATAAAGTACAATGAAATATGATAATTTATGCATTGTCGTTCATGGATTTTCATATAGTCACAATGCATATGGTAAGGAACATACTTTCATTAGCCAGTAGACAAGAATATATAATTTTTACATGGATATTGAATTTCCGACTTTATTACCAATGATTGTGAATAATGGATAGACATCTGCATATTTCTTATATACATATTTAGGTATCCAAATAGTCGGATATTATCCATGACTCTGATTAATTTCTGAATAATAACCGGAAAATAACCAGATACCTGGATAATATTAAAAATTCGGATAAATATACAGATATGTAACCAACTATATATATATATTGCCCGTTTCTCGTAAATTGTAAATTCCTTTACTAACTATTGAATTGATATATTTTCAATAGAAAAACAAAGGCCATCATTTTAATTGTTTCTCGCAATCGTCTTATTGTATTTATCGTAAATTTAGATTTTTCATTATTACATGTAATATATAATAAATGTTGTACATAAACACATCCCCTTATAAAAAAAAAAATCTTACAAAATTCTATATGTATTTGTTTTAAAATAAAATTCACATACTCGAGGCTTGAATCGAGCAAAGTCAAGTATAAAGTGTCTATGTCTATGTATATTTTTGAAAGAAATTTCTGTTATTGAAAAATATTACAAGTCCCCATTTTTTCTTTATAAACGTACTAGAAAAAAAATACACTTTAATTTTAAAATAATTTTTTTAATTTTGCCGATTCTTTCATCATTATCATCCATAATCTACAACAACTAGTTTTGAGATATATCCCTGCATTAAGCATTGCATAAAAAGTAATTGCAGATTAATTTAATAATTGTACTTACTTTTTGAGCTTTAATACCTTTCTTCTGATTTGCTTGTGCCGCAACAATTTTACTCGAAAGTTCTTGCAATACTTCTAGCAAATGTTCTACTCCAGGCAACTCTACACATTGTAGACATTGAAGTAATATTGTTGCCTCTGACAGCAGCAATTCAAGTTTTATGATATTTTCACTTTTAGTAATTGGGGTTTGCAAAATTGTATCCAACAACAAGACCCCATTATAATCGCTACGTATACCAATCCCCTGTCCATCTGTATATAACACTTTGTCTATTCCATCTGATAAATATATTCCTTGCAATTTTCCATTTAATTTACCTATAATAATTGCAATTACAATATAATTAAAAATATCTTGTTTTTGCTTGTTTCATATAAATTCTTATTATTATTATTCAAAAACGATCTCGAGGACGAGGTAAGCCAGCCAGCAGATGGCAGCTCCCGATATTTTTGCCGGCACGTGTCCCTCGTGTTCTCGAGAGCCAATTGTTTTTTTTCTCGCAAAAGACAGCCGATTCTCTCGATCAGCTGATCGAGCTGGACTTATCACCAAGACGAATCAAGCGCGAATTCTTTTTCATAGTTTTTCACATCGTTATTCTTTTTCCCTGTGAATTGCAGGTACTATTAGTTACATCTAGTCGAAGACCCGACAGTTGGATAGTACCAGGCGGCGGTGTGGAACCTGAGGAGGAACCATCTGTCACGGCTCTTCGCGAGGTCCGGGAAGAGGCTGGCGTTCTAGGACAATTAGGCCGTTGCCTTGGAACATTTGAGGTTATAACCCATGATGTATGCCATGCAAACAGATGTTCCGTTATGCTCTATCAATGGGAGCTTTTCAGCAAGAAACACAAAATCATATGATTAGCTGTCAAATAGAAAAACTTTAGGGTCTTTAAAAATTCTCTATTTAATAGCCAATTGTGTGACATTGGGTCTATCTGTGTTTTCTTGCTGAAAAACTCTCTTTTGTTACATGCGCTGCGTTTTATGCATCGATCATGTATCGTAATCTTCTGTCGCGTTCGATACGTTGCCTGAAACACGCCGATCTCCCTTTACAGAACACAGAACACAAACACAGAACGGAAGTGTGGGTTATGCGAGTGACCGAGGAATTGCCAGAGTGGGAGGACTCGCGTGCTATCGGTCGGAAGAGAAAATGGTTCACCATACCGGAGGCCCTGCTGCAACTTGGCCAGCACAAGCCCGTCCAGCGCTCTTACTTGCACAGCCTCCACAATACTAATCCTCGACATAATCCCACCTCTCAGCTGTCCAACCATTCGCACTCCACGATGGCATCTATCGAGCTAATGAATAACTCTAGTAACAATTCACGTTTAAGTGAACACAGCTAATATCGTCGTGAATCATCCATTTCTATCGAAAATTCGATCGCCATGAAGTCTCGCTGTTACTCCTCCTTTCTCCCCTTAAGGGAATTTCACGGTAACAATTTACTCTCTGCTGTGTTTTATACATATAAATTTATATTACCTACGCTTATCTTTATTATATTATTATTATTATTATTATTATTATTATTATTATTATTATTGTATCAATAATAACATCTTTGTAATGTGTCAATAATGATTTGCTATTTGTAAATATAATCTTTTAATAATAATTTGATATAATTATAAACATGTAAATTAATCACTTTTGTTGCTAATATCAAATATATTACCATTTATCTATTTCTATTTTGTAAAATTATTTAATATAAAATTAAATAATTTTCTTGACAATATTTCGTTTGGATATACAACAATTAAAAAATAGATTTATATATATTATATATAATAAACCAGCAAGAAAACCTTTGAATATTTTTATCATGAAAACTTTGAAAAAAGATGGTGCAAAAATCATACAAATGCATCGATATTAATTTAGCGTAGGCAGTTTTCACATTTTTGTTCGTCAAATTTAGAATACCACCACATATGCTAAAGCTGTATGCAAGATAAAGATGCTTATTAAAAAGCTGCATCTTTAGATGTCCAATTGTATGATTCAGGCAAATGTCAAGACAGTTTATCGAGTTGACAAAAATGGCATTTAGAAAGAAATAGTAGAGAATTTTCGACTAAAATGTTTTGATCTCAATGGAATTAGTCTCCTCTTTCTGCATTATATTACTCTACATTTAGAACGAAATTTACACGTCTCCACATGAGATAAGACAAAGGAAATGCGAGAAATTGAAATGTGTGTGTGTGTGTGTGTGTGTATATATATATATATATATATATATATACACACACACACACACACACACACACACACATACATATGAATGCTTTAGATTTACAATTAGATTGAGGAAAGAAATGGCAAACAAAGGCGAATTACAACAAGATATTTTTTTCTTTTTTTTTTTTTTTTTTTTACCGGAAAATCGACAAAGAAAACGAGATATCATTCTACACACGAGAGACAATTTAAAATCAATGTGATGCGAAATCTAATGTACGAAAAACGTGCGCGACCTTGACTGTGAGACATTATTGCACAGTATTTTGCAAACATCGGATTTGTGCAACAGAGCGCGATAGAGTGGCGAGTTTTCCCGGCATTCGTGAAAATCAATTTAACGACGAGATCCGTACACATGCTTACCAGATAGAGAACTTCTTTGCAAAATCACGCCAGAGTTGACATCGAATACGTATACTTGTGCGCTACCAGTGGTGATGAGTAGAACGTTTAAATTGGCATGATAGATTATGCTTTTGCACTCGGTGTCTACGTTTAAACAACCATCTTCTTTCAGTAACCACGGATCATCATCAGCCATTTTGCTTATACGAGAGAATCACACTTTTAGAAAAAAAATTTCTCTAACGCTCGTACATCACGAGAAACATGGCGCACGCATCAACGCCATCTTTGAGTAGAACGTCAGCAAAATGCTCTGAATATGACTGACAATCGTTTCGTAACTCGTAACGATCAATTTATTAGATATATCGATACAGTCAGTCTCGAATCTAAGTGCCGGTCCACAATAGGTGATTTAAGCCCTAAGCCTTAAGAAATTGACCAATCACAATCAAGTATGAAGAGAATACTCGACTGTGATTAGTCAATTTCTTAAGACTTAGGGCTTAAATCACCTATTGTGGACCGGCACTAAGGGCCTATCCAGACGAGTTTGATAAGGAAATTCATTGGTCCATTTCCTTATCCATTTGCTTATAGGCCGATCAATTTTTTATGCATATGTTTATGCTATGCGATTATACATAACGAAGGCTGCGTTTCGATATTCACTGCCAATACTAAAGATCTATAATTTACGTCACGTACACTATAGATTTGGAGTACGGACTGCGAATCGTCATCCATCCAATCAGAGCAAAGTAGCCAAGAATCTGATTGGATGATTGACGATTCGCAGTCCGTAATCCAAATCCGATCCGCGTCCGCAATGCGTAGTGTGACACGGGCTTAAAGCCCGTATCAGACTACACATTGAAAATCGAGATTGAAGATTAAAGATTGAAATTTGACCAATCAGGCCAACAAAATTTTAGTTGCTTTTGTTCTGATTAGTCAAATTCCAATCTTTAATCTTCAATTTTCAATGCGTAGTCTGATACGGGCTTAAGGCCGTAAGCAAATCGACTAATCACAATCAAGCATTCTAAGGGCCAATTTCACCAAGTCCGGTTAGATTAACCGACGGTTAAAATTAGCAGGGTGGCCAACAGAAAATAGAGGTGAAGGAAAACCAAGCATTCTTATCATTTCAGTTGGAACCCTGCTAATTTTAACCGTCGGTTAATCTAACCGGACTTAGTGAAATTGACCCTAAAACGTAATATAAATGTTTAAACTGTGATTGGTTGATTTGCTTATGGCCTTAAGGCCGTATTACACTACGGGTTGCGGGGTCAATTGGGGTTAGTGCCGGTCTACAATAGGTGATTTAAGCCCTAAGCCTTAAGAAATTAACTAATCACAGTCGAGTATTCTTCTCATACTTGATTATGATTGGTCAATTTCTTAAGGCTTAGGGCTTAAATCACCTATTGTAGACCGGCACTAACCCCAATTGACCCCGAGGGCCAATTTCACAAAGTCCGATTAGATTAACCGACGGTTAAAATTAGCAGGGTTCCAACTGAAATGATAAGAATGCTTGGTTTTCCTTCACCTCTATTTTCTGTTGGCCACCCTGCTAATTTTAACCGTCGGTTAATCTAACCAAGCTTGGTGAAATTGGCGCTAAAGCCATCGCACGTGAAAAAATTTTAGTCGTAACCGTAAAGGCCGTATTACACTACGGATTGCGGGCTCGGTTGTGATTGGGGTTACGGTTGACAGTTGCGGATTGACCAATCAATCGGCAAGCTGCTTTGCTCTGATTGGTCAATCCACAACCGTTAACCGTAAGAGCCGATCTACAATAGGTGATTTAAGCCCTAAGCCTTAAGAAATTGACCAATCATAATCAAGTATGAGAAGAATACTCGACTGTGATTAGTTAATTTCTTAAGGCTTAGGGCTTAAATCACCTATTGTAGATCGGCTCTTACGGTTAACGGTTGTGGATTGACCAATCAGAGCAAAGCAGCTTGCCGATTGATTGGTCAATCCGCAACTGTCAACCGTAACCCCAATCACAACCGAGCCCGCAATCCGTAGTGTAATACGGCCTTTACGGTTACGACTAAAATTTTTTCACGTGCGATGGCTTTAGCGCCAATTTCACCAAGCTTGGTTAGATTAACCGACGGTTAAAATTAGCAGGGTTCCAACTGAAATGATAAGAATGCTTGGTTTTCCTTCACCTCTATTTTCTGTTGGCCAACCTGCTAATTTTAACCGTCGGTTAATCTAACCAAGCTTGGTGAAATTGGCGCTAAAGCCATCGCACGTGAAAAAATTTTAGTCGTAACCGTAAAGGCCGTATTACACTACGGATTGCGGGCTCGGTTGTGATTGGGGTTACGGTTGACAGTTGCGGATTGACCAATCAATCGGCAAGCTGCTTTGCTCTGATTGGTCAATCCACAACCGTTAACCGTAAGAGCCGATCTACAATAGGTGATTTAAGCCCTAAGCCTTAAGAAATTAACTAATCACAGTCGAGTATTCTTCTCATACTTGATTATGATTGGTCAATTTCTTAAGGCTTAGGGCTTAAATCACCTATTGTAGATCGGCTCTTACGGTTAACGGTTGTGGATTGACCAATCAGAGCAAAGCAGCTTGCCGATTGATTGGTCAATCCGCAACTGTCAACCGTAACCCCAATCACAACCGAGCCCGCAATCCGTAGTGTAATACGGCCTTTACGGTTACGACTAAAATTTTTTCACGTGCGATGGCTTTAGCGCCAATTTCACCAAGCTTGGTTAGATTAACCGACGGTTAAAATTAGCAGGGTTCCAACTGAAATGGTAAGAATGCTTGGTTTTCCTTCACCTCTATTTTCTGTTGGCCACCCTGCTAATTTTAACCGTCGGTTAATCTAACCGAGCTTGGTGAAATTGGCCCTTAGTCTATTATCGAGCTTTGATAGGTTAGTTATTATGTATGATTATTAGAAGAATGATGGTAAAAAGCGGCGCAAATTTTTAAAATACGTGATAATCATACGAGAAATATTGTATACGTAAAGCCCGAATCGCAATCGCAGCCGCGAGCCGCTAGTGTGATTCGGGCTTTACGTAGCATGTAGCACCTAGAGTCCTAGATAATCTAGGACTCTAGTAGCAGGTAGCACCGACGTGATATAATAGTATCTCGTCGACATTCGTAAATAGAACAGATTCGTCAATTTCATCAAAATTATGATCAAAATACAGAGAGAGAGAGAGAAGAAAGAATCGTAAAATATATATATATGAGATTTTTTTGCAATGTAACAATTTTCTTACATTGTCTCTTTTTTCCTCGATGAGATATAAAATAATTAAGTACCATTGATATAATAATTTCTTGTGCATTTTATTAAGCTTGAAACAGTTCTAATGCGAAGGAAGATTTTTATTATTATTTACAATTATTCCAGTAGCCACTAGAGTATATCATAAATATTGCAGCAAAGAACATGACAATGTATCACCGAGATACATACATATATATACACTTTAAATACTTAATGTATTCAATATTTTTTTACATCTACACATTGTTTTATGCATCCATATAATAGAAAAACATTATGCCATCATTTAATGAAAAATTATCGATTAACTCTGGTAATACAAACTTTTCACTCCATAATTTTTCTCTGTGTGCCTTACTCTATGCTATTTAAATAACAATCGCTCTCCTTCTCCTCCCCTCCCCCCCAGGTCATAGATTTGACGTTAATTTTATGATATCGATTAAAGCTCTTACTTTAGTTTTCAGATAAATTAAATATCGAAAAGGCACTCGTGTGTGTGTGTGTGTGTGTGTGTGCGCGCGTGTGTATGTGTATGTTACAATATACATTTCTCAACCATATGCATCCCTGAGTTTTACCGCAACATCATTCATCGACATCACTTGTACATCGCTAATAATCGTATTACAAAATAAATAATGTACAATTATTCAATACAATACAATAACGCGTTAATTTATTATTTAATAGTAATAGCTATTTAAACATATCATATTGAAGTCGTTCCCACATCGAGGCCGCTTAAGATGAGACACCGTTCTTGCAAGCGTTTCATATGTGCCGTTAGATATGCGTTTTCTATATACAAATCCTTCACTAATATGTCGGCACTGGCTAATTTATCAGCCTATTGGAATAAGATCATATAAAGATGAAGATGAAAATTGTATATATTGCGCGCGCGCGCGCGCGCACACACCACACACACACACACACACACACACACACACACACACACACATATATATATATATATATACAGTACTTAACAAGTACTGTAAAATTTTTATACATGCTACTACTAGCTCTCTGACTAAACATTTTTTGCATGATTTTTGACATTCTAAAATTGATGTATGTTTTTTGAATTAGCTTTTTTTATGTAAATTTAAAAAAAAACGAGGAATCTCTTTTTTTCTTTATATATAATTAAACAAGGATGCAATTATTGTAGAATTGAATAAGAATATCAGTAAATTAATCTACAATTATGAACATGTATATAGAAATGTATAATTTATAATATACCTGATCAATTGTTGTTTGAACTTGTATTTGTAGCCTCTCTTGACTATTACGAAGAAGGCACTGTAATTCGCATACTTCTGTCTGATGCTGCGCCATAATATCTATAAAATAGCAAATAACTATTGTATTAAATTATTGTATTATTTTTATAGTGCATTGAATTTTAAAGGATTTAAAGAATTGATCTATACAAAAAAAATATAGTAACATGTTTCACAAAACACACATACACAGAGAGAGAGAGAGAAAGATCTTATATTTAAGATCGTCTTAAGTACAATCTTAAGATGTCATAAGTCAATCACAGAGCTGTATTAGCATCTTAAGACATTACTTAAGATAGCCTTGAAATAAGAACAGACTATAAATACCGGCCTAAGTTTCATATATTATTGTGATGTAAAATAGAAAAAATACTTACGTTGCAACAGTTTCTCAATGGACTGACGCTGCTGTTTAATATAATGTTGCAAATATCGCTTTTTACGTTCTTGTGTGTAAAGTTTCATTTTTAAATCTTGCAAGACGCTTAGATCGACGCAATCTACATGTTGCTGTGTATTATTCTGTGTGCACGGGCAACTGATTTCTTTCGTTACATCACGTGTAAATTTAAATTCCGTGTCGCGCTTATCTTCTTCTTTTAGTCCTACCGTAGTATTAGCGCTAATAAGCGAATTATTTTGATATATTGCTCCCATCTTGTGATGCTTGTTGATAGTTTTTATTTCTTTCGTTTCAGAACATTTGATACTATACAAATCATGATCATCTACATGATCTTCTTGTTTTAATAATCTATTGGAATCGTTGGATAGTAGAAATTCCATCGAAGAAGTATGATTGATTGTGCATAGATTCGTCAATGGCTCGTTCGTAGACGGTATACTAGATGTACTGGAAGATTTATAGTGCGACGAGTCTGACATTGTCGGCAAAAAAATTTCATCCGGCACTTGTACATAGGAATCATTTGTAATTGGCTGTTCTGCCAATCTTAATTTTTCACACAAATCTTCAATTTCTAAATTCTTTTGAGAAATATCTTTTTCAGTTTTTATTCTCCATTTCTCGAATTCTTCCTCAAGAGCTATGTACTATGACATAAAAGACACAAACATATATATAAGCGCGTAAAATAATGTCAATATCTTAAATTACTTAAGATATTTTGAGAAAAAGAGGAAAGAACATTTAAATTCATTTAAAGTTTTATCTTACCTGTTGTTCCAAAGTAAACTTCTCTTCTATCGGAGACAATCGCCCGCCGCCATTTTTTAATTTATCCGAAGGACTAATTAATTCCTCATATTCTACTATTTTATTAATAAGCTCGGCAAGTTTGTCGTCACTTATTTTTTGTTCTTGTTCAAAGAGTTGTCTTTCCTCTTCCAATTTGGCAGCCCAATAATCCTCACATTCTTCGTATTCCGTTTTTAATAAATCTAAACTACGCTCGAGTTCTTGGCAACGTTCGATTAATTGCTTCTTCTCAATTTCTAATAATTCTACATTTGTCGTTACAACTTTTGGAATGTTTTCAACTTCGATAATATTGGAAGAATTCATTTTTTCCTTATTATTTTTGCACTGATCCACAGAATGTTCTTCTTTTCGGGGTGGATAATCTCTAAGACTTGTCATTTTATTTTGCATTATGTCTTTTGTATCTTGACTAGTGAAATCTTCCATGCTGCTCGACACCGCTAAACGTTTCGCGAAAGTATTCGGTTTTGATATTTTCGAAACGACTAAATCACGCAAGGATTCGTTTGTTCGTTCCTCGCATTCCATTTCGAGCTCAGACGCTATACTCTTTCCGAAATCTCGCGCGGAAGAGGAACGTAGTGAAAAATTTAATTGCAGATTAGCAATTAATCTCGATATAGCGTCTCTCAAGGCACACTTCTCTGAAATGCATTTTGTATTTGTTAATAGTACATTTTCCAGATCTTTTATAATTGTGTCTCCAAATTTTTTGTATTCCGTTGTGTTAGAATTTGGTATATCGGTTTGTCGTTCTTTATCCATTGGTGGTCCGAAACCAAATGACACTTTTGCATCAACGACCTGTTGATCCATTTCAAAATCTTGCATCGGTGCACGATTTTCATTCCGATCACATAACGAAATAAGAGTTTCGAGTGGAGTTTCGACAGATGCTTTGTGTTTCTTATCTTCGCTGTGACATCTGAAATTTTCCAATTCCATATTAAGTTCGTCGTTTTGATCACGCAAGAGAATTATTTCCGACTGCAATTGTTTGATACGATTGACAAAGAAATCAACTTGCTCTTGTTGCTTCGTTTCTATATTCTGTATTTCGTCATGCTCTGCGTCTAATATCTTTATCTGTGTTAATAAATCATTATTAGATTGCCGCAGCTTTTCAATCTGATTGAGAAGAGATTTATTTTCCGCTTCGAGCATTTGATTCTCCTGCAAAATATTTACGATTTTATTCTTCATGTCATGATTCTCTTTCTGTAACACTTGTAACTGATCGTCTTTTGATTTTAGTACCACAGCATTCATCTCTCGTTCAATATTAAACTGATCCGACAATTCTTTTGTAATTTCAGCATAACGTTGTTCGTTCTGTCTCTGTAGATTTCTCTTGGTTTTTTCCAATTGAACTTGACATTCATCAATTTCCTGCGCCAATAAATTAGCCCGTTCGTTAGCTTCCAACATATCGAGACGCATCTTCTCCCTTTCCACTTTCACGTTTTCTATTGTAGCATTTAGATTGCGTTGCTCATCCTGATGAGCAACAATCATTTCTTGCAATAAAGTAATATGAGATTGAATGGTATTATTATCAAACGATTCATTCAAATTTTTGAGTTCGTTGCATATGATATTTGTTATTTCTGCAAGACTAGTATTCAAAGCATTAAAATCTCTACTAGAAGATAATACAGTTATATTGGATACACCAGCACCTTCCTCCTTATCTAAAGTTCTGTTAAGCTGTATCGAGTTCATTCTACGAGATTTGCATATAGTAAAACCTAAGGTATTTACATCACAATTTACAATATTGTTGTCAGATGCATTATTCGTTTGCGAAGCCTCTATACTCTTTCTCTTTTGAAATATAATTACGAACTCGTCGAAACTTATCAACCCGTCGCAATTCTGATCAAGTCTCTCAAAGATGGATTCTATTATTTGCTTTGGAAGTTCTGGAATTCCTAAACAATTTGATATAAATTGTATCGCTGTTACAGGATCCATGTTACTCCTTAAGTAAATTTTTATTTTTTCCCATAAGTGTGTTAATCTATTCTCATCCATTGTAATATTAGATTTCATATCTTGAAGATGAATCTCTGAGATACCCTGACCATCGATAGAGATCTCGCTTTTCTCAATATTCTCGCACGTACTTAAATTATAGCACGGCTGTACAATATGCTGTTTATCAGTAATCAATCCCTGGAACTTTTTCAACAAAAGTAATAAACCGTCCCGAAATTCTTCAAAAGATATAGTTTGTTTATCCGGACAATGTTCGCGAATGCACGATTTCAATTCCTCAATTAATCCATGGAGATGTAATTTATTGCAAATGGAAAACAAATCGTTTTCATCAAGTTCATTCTCTCCTTTTGTTAAACAGCTCTCAAACACAGCAAAGAGCTGTCGTTCATAAAGATCATTGCTGTGTTCAGCCATATCTTCTCATGCTTTCCTAATTAGCTTAAAATAATGCCAATTTCCACAAGTAGTAGATCTGCAAACAGTAACACAATAGCATTACAAACTAGTAGCAATTCTTGCATTATATTCTCACATATACAATAGTAATCTATTAAAAATTATAGATTTATTAATTGTACAACCGAATGAAGTAACTACGCTGCATTTGTCACAGCACATAAGTTAAAGATATTTATCCAATGTCGTGTTATATATATAATATTATTTTGAATGTGTATTGTAGCTAAAAAAATTTCGACAATTGATTGTCGTCTAAGAAAGAAATTCAAGAAAGATTTTTAAATTTCAGTATCACAAAGCAAGCGTATTAAAGTTGTTAAAATACTGGGTACACAATTTTCAAATCATATTTTAACCTTTTTGGAATGATGGAAAACCGAAAAGCTGCTATATTATGATGTATATAATTCAATGAAATATTAATATTTTACACACACACACACACACACACACACATATATATATATATATATATATTAATATGCATATGTGTGTGTAAGTGCACGAGCGTATATGCATGCATGCAGATACGTGTGCCATCGCATTATATATATTATAAATATTACTCTATACCAAAAATATTTTCCAAATATGAAATTATAGTGTACAAGTTTATTGCATCACAAAATGTATCAAGTTAATGATAATTGATACACAACAATATTTCATACCGCAATAAGCAATGTTGATATTTTGATTATTTTTGTGTGTATGTGTGTGCGCACATCAGAATATGATATTGTAAATGACCATATTAAATTTGCATTGTGCAGATAATGTTATTATACACTTTATTGAAATATATCACAAATTTCATCAACCAACCATTTTTATTGAAAATAAAAGAAGTGAGAGATTTATGATAAATCTTATAGTGAAATAATTGAAATCATTAATAGCGTTTTCGAGTGAAGTAGTTTGATCTCTTTGAGAGCGATTAAACTCAATTTGCCATGAACATATATTTGATCAAAAATAGGTTTTGAATCTGATTAATATAAATAATATGAGATATATCCCATTCGGCGCTATTATTTTAAAACACAAGATTCTTTTCCCTAATTAAACAATCAAACACTTACTCGAAGCACTTAATCGATTAATCTAATAATCCAAGTACCCCTTAGTAACCCAAATCGGAATTTATGACATGATTAATCGTTCTCAAAGCGATCAAACTTGCTTCACTCGAAAACGCTATAACACAGACAAGATAACTTTTTGTATCAACATTAGAATGACATATATGTGTATATTTTTATCCTTTTCATTTTCTCATAGTTTTTATCATGCTAAATATTTTTTGATTATATTATTAACTTTGCATCATCAATCACAATTTTGATTAATTATAATAATTAAAAAATTTCAATTACATATACAAACTTTGTTGTTCTTGATCTCTAAGATCGTATAATCAATAACGAGCAAGGAAAAATTTCATTACATTACTTTGTTGAATATTGAACAAAATACATGGTTGAAATACAAGTGCAAAAGAATCATATTAAAGAATTGTTGAATAGAATGTCATAAAGGTCAGTCGATTGTCATCATGTGTGTGATCGTGTATTTTATAACCTATTATAACCTACCACAATACTTCTAACAAAGTTACAGCACATAGCTATACAGATATATTGCAAGGATTATCCTTTTTTTTTTTTGCAGTATTAAGTGTTATGCATTGTTTAAATCTTTAAATAATTTTATGTAAATAATGTAATTTATTTTAATAGTAAAATAGGGGACGCACCACTAAAAATTAAAATTAACAAACTATATCAAACTATATGTATTTCACTGACACTCCAGATTCCAGATACTCTAGTTCCAGATTCGAATTGATTTGAATCGTGTCATAAAAGAAAGGTAATGCTCGTATCAGACTACGGATTGAAAATTGAAGATCGAAGAGAAAGATTTTTAAATTTCAGTATCACAAAGCAAGCGTATTAAAGTTGTTAAAATACTGGGTACACAATTTTCAAATCATATTTTAACCTTTTTGGAATGATGGAAAACCGAAAAGCTGCTATATTATGATGTATATAATTCAATGAAATATTAATATTTTACACACACACACACACACACACACACATATATATTAATTGCACGTATAATTTTAACTATAATTTAAACATATATATGCATATATGTATATACGTAAATATAAAATTCTCAAAGAATGGGCGCCCGTAATGCTCGTATCAGACTACGGATTGAAAATTGAAGATCGAAGATTAAAAATTAGAATTTGACTAATCAGAAGGAAAGGAACTAAAATTTCTTTGTTCTGATTGGTCAAATTTCAATCTTTAATCTTCAATCTCGATCTTCAATATGTAGTCTGATACGGGCTTAAGGTCAGTTTCAGATTATGCATTGAGAGAACTGTGATTTTGATAAGAATACACTTAATCGATGCCTTTTTTGCATAAAAACAAAGGTTTGAAAAGTAAATATCATCGTTTGATAGTGTAAAAAGAGTTATTAAGCGTCAAAGATGCCACTTTTGAAGGTTAGGAAATCTATCACATCGACGTAATTTTGGCGATATGAATATGCGCAGGTCTGCGTTCGAGAACGTCACTCATGTGCACCGAGCACCGAGCGTCATTCTATCCTTGTTATTTATTGAAAGTTGAACGAAGATAGAACGACGGTCGTGTGCACACGGGTGATGTTTTCGAACGCGGCCCAGCGATGAAAAGGTACACGAAATTTGAATAAAAATTCATACCTCCAAACGTTTGCTATTTATTGTTTATCAAACCCATATTTACATTTATGTATTTATGTTTACATTTCTGTGTTTCTTTGCGCGGTAATCTAATCTAATTTAATTGCAGGTAATCTAATCGAACCCTGATCGTATCATTTACTTGACGAACCAGACTACCGGATACCGGATTCCAGATCCAGACTCGAGACCCGAACCCGAGACCGAGATGCTATGCCTGTATTACCATTACCTCTCTAATCATGCGACAAGAATGCAGGAAACCGCGTGAATGATATTTTCCCGCGGATGATTATCCTCGCATAATTAATGAGCGATATCTTGTGAGCACATTGAAATATATGGCTAGCTGTAGCCTGAAATATTTAAATATTTATTATTAGTCGCACATTGTGATTCGTCTATTAGATAGGAATCGAGGTGATGGAGAATAAGAGTCATAATTCATCATCTCATCGCACAATTTATTTGCGATAAATAGGTATAAGTGGTAATTAGATTTTTGAGAGAGAGAGGGAGAGAGAGAGAAAGATAATGCATGCTTTAAAATATAAATGTATTTCGTTACATAATTAAACTTTCATGTCAATTTAGATACATTCGCTTGCCATTTTGGCACAGAAAGCGTGGAGTAGTGTACGTCGGAAAACCACGATACATCGAGCCTATATATATAATGTATGTAAATACATTGTTTATTAACAATACATACATTTTAATTTATATCTGTACGTAATGCGTTGGTGAAATACCAAATACGAAATATATAATTTTGATCGATTCATTATTATTAATCACTCATTAACTTGACTTTGTTAGTCGCGTCGTATTGCGTGGCATGGTATTGGCGCAAATTTACTGGCAAGGATGGAAGCCAAAGAAATCAAAGTATATTTGCACACATTTATTAGCAATAATGTAGCTCAACTCGATAACGTTAGTCATTTCCGGATCTCCTTCATTAGCTTTACAAATTATATATATAATAGACTGACATTTAAAAAATAGTGCCACTTACATTTTTTTACAATCTGTCCGATACATTATTAGCATTTTCTTTTCCATTTGCGATTCGGGAGCCAAATTGAAAAGCTCTTTTAGGAAAATTAGCTGTACTCTGAAAACCGATCTTGCAGGCTAGCAAGCGTAGTAGTAACTTGTCTCCCAATCCAGCTGGCATTTTCTCAGTCGGGTAGCATCTGTGGGAATGATTTTACATTTTCTTTCATTACTCGAGTCAACTAATTGTTTGGCATTAGTTAAATTTACCTTTCCCATGGTTTTATATCCTGCACATATTTCACCACATTCTCATCTAGATAGGGTAAACGGGGTTGTTTACCATGATCAGAAATAATTCGATTGTCTCGACCTAAATTTCTCTCGGAAATTCTAGCCAATTCGATATTTAGCTCTTGCACTAATGCATCCCATCCTTTATGTCTCAATATAGTTCTGTGTCTCATGTAACCACCAAATAATTCATCTGCGCCTATACCCAAGAGTAATATTCTGCATGGTGACTCGTACGTTTCATCAACTGGATAAAGGATACCCTTTGCACGACTTGCAAACCACATGGCGCATCCTAAACTTTCATCCAATATTGTACATAAAGGATACAATAAATCGGAAATTCGCGAAGCACGATACAATTGCAGTTCCATTTGTGTGATATTACACTGAAATAAGTAATTAGAGTAATTAGAGAAAAATGGTGAAATAATAGTGTGAAAAATATCACACATAGGGAAGACATCGATAGATACTTGTATGAAATTCCATTTCCTATTGGGACAAATTCGTAACAATTCAGAATACGTTTGTCGGCCAGTTTTTCTATCTGGCACATCATATTTCTGCATCGTATTCTCCTTTTCGCCATTCGTATGACTTATTTTTTGATTATTTACGGATCTTTCAAACGCAACGTTAATGAGATCGATACTTTCGTTTTCTGGAACATATTTGTCTGCAATCGCTGCTAAAATGGCCGAGTCTAAGCCACCGGAAAATAGTATACCAATCTTGGAATGAGTGCAAGTAATACTTTCACCATTTAATACAATTTTTATGCAATCCTTGCAATAGTTTGGTTTCTTTTTTACTCTAATTTTCACAGATCGATGTAAGAGTTGTGCTAAGCACTCGACTCTTTCATTTACTTCCCGATTTTCTAATAAATACCGCAATGTTTCGTTAAAATCTATGCTATCTGGTATATTCTCTAGATATTCCAAATCTTTTGGATCAGGATGTAGATGTAAATTCGTCAACGATAAATTAGTATCTAATATAGTTTTCCTAATATTAATGTCTACATTTAAAGTCGTCTCCAATGTCTCGATAACATCGGTAAATCTCAAGTCAGGTTCTTTCCAGGGATAACATGCTAAATTTATCCGCGAGCTATTTAAATTCATCGCAAAGATACCTATAGCTGGCACTTCTACAATTCCTTTCATATTTCTGTTTGCAACTGAAGTTAAAGTCAATGAATTAGCTTTGCTATCTATTTTTAAAAGCAAACTGTGCCGTCCGATAATATCTCGTCCAAAATATAATGTATTGGTTGATTTCTGATAATATATTAAGCTGTAAGGACCTTCAATCTTCCAAAGTACAGATACGATATCTGTAGTCGATTGCAATTCATCCAATATCACATTTGTATCGCAAACGTCATCTTTTGCCTAAAATCAGTGCACATATTATAAAATATACAGATATCCTTAGCTGCGCGTTCCCCTTTCTCCCGTTTAATCCTCCCCCTCTTAGAATTCTAACAAAATTCTAAAAGAAGCTTAGTTATTAGTTGTATATATTTCCATAAGAATATGCTACAATTTACTAAATATAATGCGTATATTGTGAAAAGATAACAGCATTTACTCAAAGCATTGACCAGAAACATTTAGTGCCTACAAACTACATACCAAAGAACCTGAGAAGACATCTCCATTCCATAGTAACAAATTATTATCATTATCCAAACTTGGCTGCGTTATTATCTCTGGTCCTTGCATCCATAATACCGCGGCAGCAAAGTATCCATGCCAATGAGGAGTCAATGATATATGTTCCTCCATTAAATGATCGGGACCTCGTGCCTCTATTACATTTTTGCAAATATTCCACTGAAATATAATAAAAATATACAAGGGGAAAAGTATGTAATTTTTATTATTAATAAAATAACATTTAATAATTCAATAGCACACAAGTTTTACAACGTGCTGCTGAATACATATATAATTAAATAAATACGCAGTACTGGGTGTTTCCATTACCGATTTGTTTCAAAATCACATCTTTTTTATATTTAAATGTATAAAAGTTTAATCCATGCATAATATAATATTTTTATATTTCTTTTCTATAATTACGATTGGACAGTGTGCAATAATTTTACAACCGAGTGGGTGATAATAAGGAAATTGATGAAACTATTTAACCATTATCCAAAGACAAATGGATGAAATTTGAAAAAACAAACTGTTTTGAGTAGAAAAGATCTATCAATTTCATTATATGCATAAGTACAAAAATGATGTGCGATTAAAGGGTTTTGATAATGAAATTTTACCTAACCATTACCGTTTTTACATCTACTTTTTTTTAATGTAAAATTTGATTAGATCATGATGCTTGTAAATACATACCTGCGTGAAAGATTCAGAGTCGTTTCTAATTTGATGTATACAACAAAATATTCCACACATATCGGGACTCCAATGTGAATAAGATTGTTGATTATACTACAGCTTTACCATCGCAAAATACACAAGATAAAATTAATGGAGAAAATAAATGGGACAGAGATATTGTTATATTTAAATTAACTTTTCTTTATTTTTTAAGTTAAAAATTTATAAGAAAGTACAAGATGTTCGTAATTTTCTTATTTAAATAAATATATATTGTTTGTAATTTTCTTATTTCACTTCTTTTGAAATTATTATGCTTCCCATAACAATTTCTATTGGTTCCGCCATGTTTTTCCAAACTTCTTTTCGACCAATTAAAAGGAACACGCATCGTGGCCAGACTTTATCTTTAGGGACTCTATGCCGTATGATGTATGAGTATGACAGTTATGGCTTCGGTCGGGAAGACGCTAGAAATACTTCGAAGCATTTCTAGCGTTTTCCCGACCGCAGGGCTGCGTTCGAGAATGTCACCCGTGTGCACCGAGCGTTGTTCTATCTTTGTTATTTACTGAAAGTTGAACAACAGCCAATAGGTTTGTTCGCATTGCTTGAACTTTTTGCACTCAGCATCTTTGCTTTCATTCTCTCAATATCCGAATATATATTTATTTCGTTTTAAGTGCAAAAATTTTTGGGAATTTCAAGCAACGCGAACAAACCTATTGTCATGTGGGTTGCAATTAACGATACTTTTGTCCCTAGGAAAAACAAACTCTCCTATTGGATATCGCATGTGACTCAACGAAGTGTGAATATCTTCAAATGATACTATACATTATATTTACACATCGTTGTCGTAATGTCGTATTATACATACGTCATACGACGTACGAAAAAAGCTTTCTCGGACGTATCGATTGGCTGCTATTGCGAGAAACTTTCGGAATCTTAGAAATTCTTCATCCGTTTATGTATATATGTTTAAACAATCAGTACGTACGATAAATATATAATATATAATTATAATATTATTGCATATACTATATTCTGTACTTGGCAATTCATAAAATGATGAGTTTGAATCGATCGATTGATCAATTTTAAACGAAAGGGACAAGGATTTTTCTTTGCTCTGGTGTCAATCGATCGCTTTGAAGCATTTGTAACGTCAAGTGGGGTGCGCTTTCTATTATTTTAATATTCGGAACAGTATCTGAAAATCTGAATCTATTGCTTACAAGCAACAAAGTATCAAGCATATGTATTTTTGCAGACGAGAATGAGCAGCCCCTGTGGCCTAATGGATAAGGCATCGGTCTCCTAAACCGGGGATTGTGGGTTCGAGTCCCACCAGGGGTACAGGTACTTTTTACAATTCCAAATACTGAATTATTATTAAAGTAAATCTTCTTACATTTTCTTTTATTTTAAATCCCTTTAACAGCGATGCTTTTTTTCGCAATGAAAACTTGCATTTGAACGCGTGGGTATAGAGAGAAAGAGATAATTTCCAATTTGTGCAATTTTGTGTGTGCAATTTTGTGTGTGTGTGTGTGTGTGTGTGTGTGTGTGTGTGTGTGTATGTATGTATATCGACAATGTAGAAATCTATAAATTTCGAATGCTAGAGTCGCTAACGTAGTAACATTTCGTCGATAAATAAGGGTGATACAAGCACGCGCCAACGCGATGGCGTTGTACGACGCGTATCGAGCGTTTTTCCCGCTTCCCGCTCGTTCCCGTTCGCGGCGACACAGTGGCAAGTGGCAAGTGGCAGTTTCCAAGTTCCGAAGGTTGACTCGTCGGTCGGCGGGGTCGGGATCGGGTTGTTGGGGCGTCGGGGTTTCGGGGTTTCTAGTTTCCATTCCTCTCTCTTTCCGGTTCACCTCTTTTGGCTTAATACTTTCCGTGGAACAAAATTATATATTATTATTGCACGCATGTTGTCCAACCAGATCTCTGATCTGGTTTTCCGGATGCAGTGTGTCGCTCGCGTCGAGTGTGTCGACGTAGTCGTATCGAGACTGCGACACGAACGCACGCGACACGTACTCGCCACCGCCACCGGTGCTTACGAGATACGGCTACGGTTCAACCGGGCTGAAGCGGCTGCACAGCTGAACCACATCGTCACACCACACCGCGGTGGCCGACTCGGCTACGGTTCGCGATAGTTGATTCGCGCGCGACGGCCATTCGTAGACTCGTCTCTTATTAAAAATGTCGCCGATACGTGCAAAACAATAGGGATAGTCGGCGCTTGCCGGTAAAGGGTGCGAGGTGCGAGGCACGAGTTTGCCGGCCGCACGTCACGGCCTGCCCTGTAAATGCACGGTGCGATACTGTAGTCACCGAAAAAGGGATTACCGTTCGCTATATTACTCCGTCCTCCAAGAGTGTGCGAACGAAGATTACAAACATTCAAAGCTATCGTCGTGTCGCCATCGAGAAGAGTGAGAGAGAGAGAGAGAGAGAGAGAGAGAGAGAGAAGACATCTTTCGAGGTTAGAGATAGATTATGGTGTTTTAAATCTCGCTCGATATAATGCTTAATCAAAAAGTTTTCATGTATGTATGCGCATGTATGGGTATATATATATATATTGCAATTTATTCGTCGCGATAGCCTTTTGCTTTGGCGCGAGGAGGTGAATTGGCGTAACTCATTCGACCGGTCGATATCGTTGCGAACGATTGGCACGGACCCCCCGCGAGAAAGAGGGACACTTTGTTCGTGCCACGGTGCCATTCGCGCTATTCGTGTTCTTCGCTCTTCGCGCCTTGTCGAGCGCGCAGCTGTTTGTTTGTAGCAAGTAACGAGAAAGACGAGGCTCGAGCCGTCAAATTATTCGATGGCTCGCCGTCTCTCGTGTGTACTCGCATGCGAAACCTAACCTTCTCCGCGCGCGTAATAATACGTGCTTGCGTGCGAGTCGAACGCGAATGTGACGGAATCGATCGATCTGGTGGCTTATCGCGAGATGACCCGAGGGCAGAGGTACATTATTTACATTATTTACGATTCGCGTAAAGATAACGTGCAAACTCTTTCTACATCTTCCCCTCCCCCCTTGTCTCCTCGTTGTTATATCGAAGCGAAAGCAATACGCGGCGAGATCCGTTTATGAATTGATTAAAGTAAATCGCGAACGTACAAACGGCTCTTTTATCCTTTTGACAGCAGACGGTCAAGCATTGCCTCGATTATTCGCGCGATTATCGTAACACGTGGCCACGACTCGTGTGACAAAAAAATCATGCATAGGTGAATTTATTTCAAGTCTTATGACGCGATTTATTTCCATTGTTTAGCAAAGACTGCCAGGCGAAACATTTATTTCGCACGTGCATAATCAATTTTATAAATTTCAATAAGTACTTAAATTTCCTCTCATTCTTTTTCACTCTCTCTCTTTTTGCTTTCTCTCTTTGTATACTAATGATTAACTAAATTATTCTAAATTTGCACAACACCGTTTTCGATTCGGACCATTTTTTAAATAAAAAAAGAAAACTACAAATATGCATATATTGTCAATTTTATTATTAGTATTTTTTAAATATTAGTATATAGATTCGCTATATCACTGATCATGTCAACTCTGCACAATTTCGAAAATGTAAAAAAACATTTATTCTTTTAAGTACAACAATTATATACGTGTACATACATTCCAATTTGTTTGCATTGCTTGCAATCTCCAAAAATGTCTGCATCTATAATAAGACAAATATTGTATATATTTAGGCGTTGGAGAGAGAGAAAAAGCAAAGAATCTGAATGCGAAGAGTGCAATGCGAACAGATTAATTGATACGTAAAACATAATCGGAACTTTTATTGCTTCTTTATATCGTGCTATAATTAATTTAAAAATTATTAATAGTGAAGGAATTTTTATATTTTTCAATGATATTCGAAGAATAATGGATAAATTAAAGAAGACACTTTGGTGACATATTGCGCGCACAAGTGAATTGATCGCTAGATAATGTGGCGATGACGAGTCATGCCGGTACTCGGCGGTCTATTTTATTGAAAACACGTGGTGAAAACGCGCAAGTGTATAAGCACGAGAGCATAATCGTCTCTGCGATTATATCGGCTTATAAACCGACGGTCCTATCGATACGCAAACCACGATAACGCTGTTTGTAATGATAATGCATAAGTGATATACATATATACATATATTGTTGGTTTTATATGATTCGCCCAACGTCAATTTTCTTTTACATTTATCGTCTTGACAAATGCGAAATATCTTTCCGCGTAAAAACCTACTATTTATAAATTATTCTCGTTTTCGTAAAGAGAGAGAGAGAGAGAGAGAGATCATATTCTAAGCATATTGTATATTTTTACACGGTAATTCTTAATAAATTCTTGTGAATCCTATATATAATATTCTTTTTCGTGAAGAGAGAGAGAGAGAGAGAGAGAGAGAGAGAGAGAGAGAGAGAGAGAGAGAGAGATCATATTCTAAGCATATTGTAATAGTCAAGAAAGAGTACATCTCGCTGGTATACTATATCCAGAATTGTTTCGATGGCACGATAAATAGCGAGGTCAAGAATATCGACTAATTAGTTGCGATTGTTACGCAAGAGAAAAAGGAGGGTCTTTGCGAGTGTTTTGAAAAGAAGAGAGAAATGTCGCGAATCGAATATTATCTTTTTCTTATTTTTTCCTTTTCTTTTACCACATAAAATCATCATCTTTCTCATTGCATCATAATAACTGTAACAATAAATATTACTCGTTTCTCCTCTTAAAAGTGTCATTTGTGCGACTTGGCTCGACTTGGCAAGTCACCCGTGGCAGACAACGTGGCGACAGAGATTTATCAATCAGGTCCAACTCGTCGTCGTCATTCTCGTTCTCGATAACTCTTCATCCGTGGAAAATTTTGGCAACGCATTGCCGATGAATTTAGCATTACAATACTGTTTATATATTGTTGCAAGTTTCTCTTTTTGCGTACTAAAGTGCTCAATTTTTTTAAACATATAGTAGAGCGATTGTTTATGTTTCCGAATATATATATACACATGCTAGTCGCACTACCGATGCAAGAGTGCATAAGAGAATTTCTACAGATGATGATCTATCGATATTTTCGAGATCGTTTATTTCTCATACATCATAAATCGTACACGTCGACGTGTAACTTGTCGCGTTCACATTTAACTGGAAATATATTTTTCTCTCACGTTCGCGCTCGAATGATCCGCTGAAAAAAATTGTCACAAAATGAAATGTACAATGACATGTATAAAGACTGTATAAAATCATTATTTGTAAAATTCTCGATAGAGAAATGTCACGAGTGGTGTAAATTAATCGCGTAAATAATAAATATGTAGTTCGGTACCGAAATTTTTGAAATGTTTGCGCATTGAGCTAGAAACAGTATTGTTTCCGCAATGTTCACGATTGCGAAAGATAGCGATGTTGGTCGATTCGCGTGCAGGATTCTTTCGCTCGTGGTCGCTTTACTCATTCGAACAATAATTGTTACCAAGCACGTGCTTACCATCATCGTCACGCGCTCGAGCCAAGATGGATCGCCCTGTCGTCAGCCACTTGGATTGACCGTCTTGGATGACCACGCGCGAAACGACCGTATACATAGTGTGTACTCGTGTACTGAGCCGCGCGATAAAGTCCAACTCTATTCTTCTTAGAATACTATATTAGAGACATGTGTACTTTACGTTATATGTATACTATAATAGTTTGGCTATTACATCATAGCTTTATATACGCTCGCACATTTCATTTTTATACTTTATTGAGTACGAGCTATCGAGCATGAAAGGGCAACAAGCTGCTTGATATATATGTATATACGTATATATGTATAAAATTTTATCGCGAAAACTGACCATAGTGACGTTAAAATCTATTTGCACTGTTTAGTGAATCACGAGACAAAACACTAAGGTTTATATAGTGTAGTATAGTATATAGACGCGTATAGACAATGTCCGATAAATATCACTTATTATTGCAGCTTCTTTTTTGAAGTTTTGCCATTTTGTCGTTTTGTCATTTTGTCGTTTGCGTAATCGCGATAGAAGCAGACGACCAAGATTAAATAGATATACTTTATATTCTTCTCATCACGATATAGAAATTATGATCTGGTTTCAAAAGTTTTCTTATCGAATAATTCAAGAAGAAAAATAATATTTTTATCTACAAAGATTTTAAAATTCTGCTTAATATCAAAGCGTATTGATTATTTTATCAGTATCATAATTGAATAAAATAATCTTTCAATTGCTTCTATACACAGGAGAAATGTAAATATGTAGACTTTTTTTTTGATATGCATTACATACACGCACTCTGAGCGCGATGCGAAAGTAAATTGTGATTGCATAATGAGGTTAACGCTTAACGGTTCAACGCGCGTACAACGGTGGGCGTCTGCCTTGAAACAGCTGTTTGTTTTCAGTGCCGAGGGATATTAATATATCCTGTGTATACTTCTATTACGCTTCGCCAATTTTTCTGGTGTTATAAATGTTTGCAAAAGTTACCCCCGATAGTTGCCGACATCATGTATAAAAACACTTGTTGATCAAATTCTAAGAATAAGAATAATTTTGATGTAAATTGCAAATTTTCTATTTTTTTCTCCAAAATAATCTCTACTTTGCGCGCATATATATATTGGCATAAAAAGAAATTTTTGAAATGTTTGCGCATTAAGCAAGAAACAGTATTGTTTCCGCAATGTTCACGATTGCGAAAGATAGCGATGTTGGTCGATTCGCGTGCAGGATTCTTTCGCTCGTGGTCGCTTTACTCATTCGAACAATAATTGTTACCAAGCACGTGCTTACCATCATCGTCACGCGCTCGAGCCAAGATGGATCGCCCTGTCGTCAGCCACTTGGATTGACCGTCTTGGATGACCACGCGCGAAACGACCGTATACATAGTGTGTACTCGTGTACTGAGCCGCGCGATAAAGTCCAACTCTATTCTTCTTAGAATACTATATTAGAGACATGTGTACTTTACGTTATATGTATACTATAATAGTTTGGCTATTACATCATAGCTTTATATACGCTCGCACATTTCATTTTTATACTTTATTGAGTACGAGCTATCGAGCATGAAAGGGCAACAAGCTGCTTGATATATATGTATATACGTATATATGTATAAAATCGCGACGCGAAAACTGACCATAGTGACGTTAAAATCTATTTGCACTGTTTAGTGAATCACGAGACAAAACACTAAGGTTTATATAGTGTAGTATAGTATATAGACGCGTATAGACAATGTCCGATAAATATCACTTATTTTTGCAGCTTCTTTTTTGAAGTTTTGCCATTTTGTCGTTTGCGTAATCGCGATAGAAGCAGACGACCAAGATTAAATAGATATACTTTATATTCTTCTCATCACGATATAGAAATTATGATCTGGTTTCAAAAGTTTTCTTATCGAATAATTCAAGAAGAAAAATAATATTTTTATCTACAAAGATTTTAAAATTCTGCTTAATATCAAAGCGTATTGATTATTTTATCAGTATCATAATTGAATAAAATAATCTTTCAATTGCTTCTATACACAGGAGAAATGTAAATATGTAGACTTTTTTTTTGATATGCATTACATACACGCACTCTGAGCGCGATGCGAAAGTAAATTGTGATTGCATAATGAGGTTAACGCTTAACGGTTCAACGCGCGTACAACGGTGGGCGTCTGCCTTGAAACAGCTGTTTGTTTTCAGTGCCGAGGGATATTAATATATCCTGTGTATACTTCTATTACGCTTCGCCAATTTTTCTGGTGTTATAAATGTTTGCAAAAGTTACCCCCGATAGTTGCCGACATCATGTATAAAAACACTTGTTGATCAAATTCTAAGAATAAGAATAATTTTGATGTAAATTGCAAATTTTCTATTTTTTTCTCCAAAATAATCTCTACTTTGCGCGCATATATATATTGGCATTATTAAGTATTTAATTACATGTTTAATAAGGAGGATATAATTACGATATATATATATTGGATGATCGCGGAGACTGGTATTGACGTGATCGTGCATTAATGGTGTATGTGTTGCACATTTCCATTTTATCTGTGTACAGCAAAGATTATCAAGCAATTCGTATCAAGCAAGAAATAAAATGTAATTCTTTTTATACGCGCATTTATCCAGATGGAATGAATATGATATATAAACTATACTATATATATATATA